CCGATTTATAAACGAGACACCAACGCCTTATTTCTCAGACTCCCCGGTATCCCTCGGATCAGCAGGCTCGCCGCTCGGGATCCAGCCGGCGGACGCACCTTCACCCATAAACTTTCCTGCTCCAGGGGAGAGCATGGCGGATACCTCGACCCTGTCACCAGACGCCAACATGCCAGGCTCGCCGGATTGTCCTATGGTCAAAGTGAAGAGCGAGTACGTCCTGGGCAGCCCGAGTCCAGGAACACCTCGAGATCCTTTGCGAGTCACTGCCATTAGTGGTGGTGGTGGAGGTGGAGGAAGTAATGGCGGAGGTGCAGGAAGTGCTGGAGGAGGAGGTGGAGGAGGTGCTCAGGAATTACGCGAAACAACGTGCTCGGATCGTGCTTCGCCTGATTCGGTCTTCCCAGATGCTGGAAGCATGGTGGGATTTAGGGTTATCGAGGAACAACAGCAGCAACACCATCACCAGCAGCAGCAGCAGCAGCAGCAACAGCAACAGCAACAGCAGCAGCAACATCATCACCAGCAGCAGCAACAGCAGCAGCAGCAGCAGCAGCAGCAGCAGCAACGTTCCAGCACACCAGCACCAAACAGATCCTCACCTTATTCACCCGTTCAAGCTGTCTCCACGACACCAATGCCTCTAGAACCGTCCTCAAGGAGCGAAAGTCCCGATAAGGGTGATCTTTCATCTATCCAAATGAAAGAGGAATCCGACAATTCGGTCTTCGACGGTGGAGGTGGCGGCGGTGGTGGTGGTGGTGGCGGAGGCAGCGGCGGCAGTGGTGGAAATAATTCCGGCGTTCGTACGGACACATCCAGCCAGCCTAGTCACCGGAATAGTCCGTCGTCGCAATACAATCCAAACCAGAGTATGAGCCCTACCGGTAGTTCGGCTCACGTCTCTCAACAGCAGCAGCAACAGCCGCAACAAGCATCGCCAAGGGCGCGAGCGCCATCGGTACCGCCTCATCTCCTGGCTCATCATCAATTCTGGTCACAAAATTCCGGCGTACAGGGATTTGCCACGCAAAGGCTACTGAACGGCGTAATAAGTAGTGCCGTTAGTTATGGACAAAATGTTGCGACGGTTTCCACCAGTAGCTGCACTACTTCTAGTAGTAGTACGGGAACTGGTAATAGCGGTGGTGGAACTTCCGGAAGTACGGGGGCAACCACAACGGCGTCTTCGTGTAAGTTCATTGCACGACGAGGGGTGATATTCGAATCTTATTACCCTTTGAATGAATCCTTTTTATGTATTTTATATCAAGAACAGATTTCATTTGCCTATTCGTCTGACATAAAACATTTGTTTATTTTCAATGCGTATTAAATTTTCAGGCGAAGGAATGAAACCACCGGCTCAAAGACCAGCCCCAGCACCACCCAGACCACCGCCCACGGTGATCATGGGAGAAATCGGTGGCGTTAGGACGATGATATGGTCAACGCCACCTTTGGATCCTGTACCACCACCCGCGGCCTCGTGGACGGCCACAGCCGCGGCTGCCTCTTGTTCCTCTTCCGAGGAATCAGCGGCACAACTTCTCCTAAACCTCGGACAAGAGTCCAGAGGGAAACCACCTTCCGTTTCCTATTCGTCCGGACCACCCCTCAACATGGAGAGGCTATGGGCCGGCGATTTAACGCAACTGCCGGCTGCCCAGCAGATGCAAGCCCTCAATCTCACGGCATCAGGCTCCAGTCAGCCTTGGGTGAGAAACGGCGGGGTCGTCAAGTCCGAGGCGGCCTCGCAATCAATGTCGGTCGCACCACCTGCCCCACCGTTACCGCCTCAGGAACACGAGGAAGACGAAACGCCCATGATCTGCATGATCTGCGAGGATAAAGCCACGGGTTTACATTATGGCATTATCACGTGCGAAGGGTAAGTTTCTTTTAATTTTGTATCATCAACTTTAAAATTATACAATGTAGATCTTTTATGAATATATTAAATTCTTTATATATGTAAATCAAGAATAATGTTTGAATACTTTCATATGGAATCTCATTGACTATACAATGATTTAGATATATTTTATTTTTGATAAACATACTATTACCATGTTCAAAATTAAAAACAAAAAGACCTTCTTAGTACACTACAACCTTAGTAGAGTACAACCTACAAGTTCTTAATTATCCACCTATTTTCCCGCTCCATTTCCCTAGCTGACGATATCCATCCAAGTTGGAAGAAATACTCCTTGAAAAATATCTCTTGAAAATTTACGTAAGGATACTCCAAATTAATTCTGGATATCACCACTGGGTATCGTTGTCTGACCAACGTCGCAATTTCTATCCCCGTCGTTCTCCGTTGTCTGACACGTAACGAGACGACGTTTATATGAGGAAACTTTACGTAGTTTTCTTCCTTTGAATTGTTTCGATTAAAAATGAATACTTTAATCCTTCATCGGGAATATCTTGCTGCGTGCTTTCAAAGCAATATTTGAAGTGACTTAAAGTGTAAAAAAAGAAAAAAAAAAAA